CTTTTGACAGCATCAGTGTATGTTTGTCCTGTAGTTTTTGTATTGAACATAAAATACATTTTGTGCTGTAGCTGTGTGAAATCATAGTAATGCTGACAGGAACAGAATACAATATACACAAATGTATAACTGCTTTTTGCTTTACAGTATGTCCTGTCTGTCTTAAAGTTTACATTTCCAACCATTTTTCAGGGGTAAGTATTCATGACAATATCACTCGGCTAAATTTGAAATTCAGCATCAATAACTTTCTTCAGTTGGCAGACATCCACTGGAGCTCTATTGCTGCTGGTTACATGGAAACTGGGTTGGGTTGAAATAAATGCCTTCTCCAGGTAACTAAATATGCATTTATATAAAATATGGATTATTATTGGTGGAATATACATTTCATTACGATCTGTTTATTAATATATGTACTCTTGCTGTGGTTGTTTTTTTAGATCTGCAGTATTTTCCCAGCTTCCTGGGTGCTTCTTATTTATTGGAAACATTTATGCGGGGTCCAAAGCACTGTCACTTTTGGTAAGTGCAAAAATAATATGTCTAAATATGGACTTCAGTGTCTTTCTTATGGTTGGACTGAACGTGCAACCCTTGTGTTCGCTTATGTTGAAATATGCTTGTCTTTGCTTTTTTTTTTTTTAGCCCATTCCTTTTTTCTTCGTGTTACAAAATGTCTCAGAAGTCTTTGCTTTTCTCATCGTAACAGTAACTCACAGAGAGGTGCGTCTGATTTTAGTTGCTGTTCTGTGGGAATAAACTAAAAACAATTTTTTGCATGTTTTTTTTTCTTATAAAATGTATTTAGAAGGATTAGAAATCAATTTTAAATATCATAAACATGTCTCAGTGCCAGTCATGTCACTATTCTAATTTTCTTTGTATTTGAATTAATTAGAAGCCACCATGGATGAAATTATTAAGGTATGTTTCTTTCAACCAGATATTCCAATATGAGCTTGTTTATGCTCTTAAATACTTTTTATGCTCATACCAACACTGCAAAGGGATTTTCCTCCTCAGTATTTTACTATTAATTAATTGAATTAAATTATTCGATTTTAAAAACAAAACAAAATCTTGTTTTCAAGTAGAAATACCTAGACATTCTTTAAAAAAAAAAAAAAAATCAAGAAACATGTACTTGAGAAGCAAAATGACACAAGCTAACGATACTTATTTTCGGAGAATTGACAAAAATGAAATAACTTTATGTTTAAAGCAAGAAAAAAAGACATAAGATAATTTTTCATACACCACTGGCAGATATTTTCCTTGTTTTAGGAATAAAGGCATTTCATTTTTCTCATAATTTTACTCGATCTTAAGTAATTTTGCTTCTCAAGTAAATGTATCAATTACATTTTTTTAAATATATTTTTACTATGTATTCTTAATCAAATATTGTATTAAAAACAAAGAAGGAAGGACAAATCTATAGATGATTTTAATGAAATTATATTCTTTTTAGTGTGTGTATGTTGCTGGGATCTGCCACCAGCCTTATGCTATTCAATCCACGGGTAAGTTCATACCGTGATTTTCTCTACATTATCAATATCTCTGTTTCCTGTAACAGTAAAAATCTCCATTTCATACATCCCCTTTACGGTTCTGTCTCGTCTCTCAGTTTGGTCCCAGTGGCTACACATGGGCATCCATCCATCTGTTCTGTGTCGGTGAGTGTGGATTTATTTGTTGTGGGACTCAGAATTAAGAGTAACAATCTTAAACTACAGAAATTGCAAATAGTCCCGAATGAGTGATGTATTGTCATGTTGTTAAATGAAATGAATTGTGTTTGCAAATCATTTGCTCATTAGAAATCATTTTCATTTCATAGTGCTATATTCAGCTTTTGTTTGATGTTGGCATCTGTGAAATTGAAGGGCAGTCTGTCTCAGGAGCATTGTGGCATCTGGTGCTTCCTGGCCAAGGTGAGACAGACCTCTGAAAATTATATTTTGAAGCGCAATTTTCCTGCGGACTGTTAGAGCATAAGTGCCGGTTTCACATCACGTGCATTGCAGCACTTGCAATAAAAATGTAAATGGAATAAATGGTGCAATGGATTTCTTTTTCTCCTTGCATGCAGATACTGACGTCAGGTCTTTCTCTTTTCCTTTCCACATTCAACACTGTGCTCAGCCCTGTGACTCAGTTCTGGTGAGTTCCCAACAGTTCTATGTTAAGATATTGAGTTTAGGCTATCTAGTTACTTACAGTATGAAGTGAAATAATGAAAGAAATGTTAAATTGGTTTTGTTTCTCTCATTAGCATCATCCTGAACTATGCCGGAGAGGCCTTGTTTGTGTATTCAGACAGATTTAAATAAGTTTTGTTGAAGAATATGGCCAGTGCCTTTGAGGATTCTCCAAAGGATTTTCCACTTTAGCTCTTTACATGAGTTTTATAAATTGACCAAAGCAAATTGCCTCAATGAAGATTATTTTCACTTTGCAACACTTTTTTTTCTTTTCTTTTTTCAGTTTGAGTTACATATGGAAGCTTGTTTCCACCACAAGATAAAAAACTAATCTTACATTTTTTTTTGAATCTCACAATTCTGACTTTTTCTCGCAATTCTGTTAAAAACTCAGAATTTTGAGAAAGAAGTCAAAATTGATATAAAAGATATAAACTTGCAATTTATGTACGAAAAGTCTGAATTGCGAGATAAAAACTCGCAGTTACCTTTTTTATTCTGTGGTGAAAATAATATTTAAAAAAAAAATTCAAAATGTAAACTCAGAATTCAAAGAAAAAATTTCAATTTCAAAAAATGTGAAATGTAAACTCGGAATTGAGAGTCCGAATTTATATCTCACAATTCTGACTTTTGTTTTCAGATTTGCAAGACATACAAATCTGAATTGTGGGATAAAAAGTCAGTTACCATTTTATTTTTTATTCTGTGGTGAAAGCGTGCTTCCATAGTTACATGTTAAACCAGAAATAGCAGGAAAAAAGCAGGTGTTTACCATTTACCATAATTCTTTTAGTCTTGCATTTTAATATGGCCAGTTTATTGTAGTCACTTGATTTAGATTTTGCACTTATTACACATTTTTTCACAGCAACATTTGTAATTGCTGTTAGTGTTCAACCTTTGCACGTCATTGTCTTGCAGAGTTTACTTTTGAGAGCCCTGGATCATATCCTGAATACTGTCACACCGTACATCAGTACTATATGAAAAACATTGGTACATGAGCCCCTATAACTCTGAGGTTTTCAAAAATATTTTACATAATGCCAGTCACCATAAACATGTTAGTGTCATTAGTACAATGTGTTTGTTGTCCATGTTAACATTATTCATCATTATTGCAGGTTGGTTGACGGTTCTAATATTTTTAAGGGTATTTGGATTTTTTTAAATATAGAAATAACTCCCAAAATTGAGACCTGCAAAAAGTAATGTGATTATTCTGTTTGAACTGATTGACAGTTACTGTATTTCGGAGCCACATTTTATGATATTGTATTATGAAATTGACCCAATATTCTATTATGAAATCACTTTTCTTAGTATTTTAAATCAGTTTTTGCACGATATTAAACAAAAGCATTTTTTTGACCATCTGTTTTTTTCTCTCTTATTTTTCTGCAAAAAAAATAAATAAAATGAAATCATAGAACACAGAAGCAATATTACATATCCTTATTTACATGGTGTGTAGCTTACAAAACAAACAGTGCATCTGGTGTGGGTTTTGAGGATCTGGTCTGGTTTTAGGTGGTCTAAAGTGTTTAGTGCGGTGAGATCTCACGCTGTGGCAGATCTAGTTTAAACTCGAGCGCCACCAGCGCAGGAAACTCCAGTGATAAAAGTTCCCTGTGATTCAGCCGCAGTCGCTCCTCCAGTCTCTAATGGACGTCCACAGTGAAAACTGAATGAATCATTTATTGAATTAGAAATCAGAGAGCAGATATTGATGTCACTGAGCTTTACGTACATCTATGAGGTGTTTGACCTCTGGCCTCTTGAGGTCATTGCTTATTTTGTCAGCGAGGAGGATACAAGCTCCGGCGCAAAGTTTCCGATTCTGCTTGTCCAGTTTAATGTGCAGGGCGAGCTCTTCTTACCCACAATCCTCCTGGGCTAATTTACGGATCTCTTTTCAGACTGAGAATGTCACAGTAAAAGAAAATAATAAATACAATTAGAATGCTTCTAGATATTAGTATTTTTAAGATGGGTAACCAGAAGTCTTTACCTTCTGATTTTGCTGAGGGTCAGTTGAACATGTGGAAACTTTTCACTGAAGGTTTCATTCATGTCTTTCTTCAGGTCGGACGGCTTCACGTATTCAATGACCGCTGTCTGAAAAAATCAATAGACATCTCTAGGAAGAAAATGCTTCTTATTTTGAACAGTTTCAAATGCTGGCCTTCATCCATGAGATACAAAATAAAGATTTTAGGCAAAGATAATTTTCATGAACTTTTTGAATAATTTCCCCCCATTCGCAGAATTAGTATATTTATTAAACAGGTGTGAAACTGTCATAATGTTACTATAATAACACTATGAACAAATATGTTCCTGTATGACAAGCTTCATGTGCGTCGACTGATTTAGCATAATCTGAGATTTACAAGCAATTTATACGCCAGTCATTTTTGACCAGGAACACCAAATTAGATCAAATATTTTCAAGAGAAAAAGAGTTAAATTAAAACAAAAATGTTATTAAAATGACAAAATCATATGAATATTACCATCAACTATAAAGGCCTAAAAATATGCACTATTCAGAATGTTATATGCCGAATTGAAAATCTTACAATTATATAAATGTATAAAAGGCAAAAAGCTGATTTTTATTGTCAACAAGATAATTATTTTCTCCATCCTGTTTGCGAAATAATTTTGCTACTATAACTTAGCACAATCTATGCTTGGATGTACTGAAAATAAACGCACTTTAAAAAAAAAACTATTTTATTATTATTTTATTACAGGATAAAAGTATTTTTTCATAAATCAAGTGTACAAAATGTCAAACAATTTACGCAGTTCTTCTCTTACAGACAAAACGAGGTTTGTTTATTACTCGAGGTCATTTTATAAAATCTAAGCACATTGAATTACTCACAAATGAGAAAAGTACATATAAAAGTAAATAAGATAAGCAGCTATAATTCAGGACGTGAGCAGACAGAATTACATATTCATCCATTTAGTTCCAGTGTGGTTTTTAAATCATATCTGAACTTATAACGGATGCACTCAGTGCTGATGTTTTTGTGACTTGGCTTTCGGTGAGAACATGGCGAGGTACGGCCGTCTCCTGCGTATCCGCACGTCTGGCTCGTCGTCCTCTTTGATGTAGCCTGTTGAGAGCAAAGAATGCTGTCTAAACGCTTCAGCGACCAAGATAAACTGATAAAAGAAACGTGTCATTCTTCCTTTCACAAGAAGTCTATAGATTAAAAGTCTCAGTCACTGTATGTGCTGGAAAACAATGCATTTGTACAAATGTAATGTAGCATTATTAGTGTTATATAGTTCTTCATTTCGGCAATTCATTTCTGCAATTTGTGAAAAAGCCAATTCAGTACCTCTTTCCACACAGGTCTGTGTTGATGGGAAACCCACTTCCCAGAAGTTCTCTGGAGTGGAAGGTGGGACGTAGCGGTAGCGATGACGTGAACAGGAAGACAGTTTTTTCTGTCTTTCTTCCTCTGGAAGGCCTGCATAGTACTGAAACAACAGAATGCTCTTAATTACAACATTGTAAATGATCAATGGTATCATTATTTAGAAGGATGAGATATATTTGGTCATATAGTGTATAAACTGGCTCACATTTTCACACTCTTTACAATAGTGGCCTTTCAGTTTTCTCCTTTCGTCTTTCTTACGCACAACTTCCACACAAGCAAAAGACTTATTCCTGGAACAGAAAGCAAAACATGTACAAATGTCTTTTATGAATCTTTTTTTTTTGGCTAATAATTTTATGATTTGAAGCATTTTTATTCATTTGGTTTGTGGACTTTAAGACACTATTTTTTTTAGCACCATATGCATTTGAAGCTGTGCAATCTGAAGTTCTTTGCATGGAAAAAACATTAAAAATACTTTCAAACCAAGGTAAAACTTTAATAAAACTAAACCCATAAAAAAACTTGTTACTTGAAATAAAATAAACATTAACCAAAATAAATAAATATTTCAGGTAGTTGCCAAAGTAACATTTCTCATTTTCATTTAGTTTAACTTGATGTACTAAAAATAAAACCTGAATTAATTCATTAAAATAAATAAATAAAAACAATATAGACATATTTACAAAATAATAAATAATGAAGTCATAAAAAAAAACACACAACAAAATACTACAACTTGCTAAAAATGCTAAATAAAAAAATCATTCAAACAAAAAAAAAAAACTATAATAGTATCTCAATGATTTAAATGTATCTGTATAGTGATTTTCACAAAATAAGTCTTTCCAAAGCAGCTCAACAAGAACATTTATTACCAATAAAAGCATCATATATTACTCACCTGCTAGATCTATTAATGTCGGACGTCACTTGTTCGGGGTCTGCAGGCCGGCGGAATTCGTCTGAACAATCACAGTATGTTTGTTAAAAATGTTTAAAAAGAAGAAGGACAAAATACAAAAAAGTACTGGAAGACTTTCTGTCATTTGAAGAGAATTTCTTTTTTGGAAATGATGAAACGGAAAACAAAACATTACGTGCTGCCACTTGTTCTTCCTCATTATCATCTTCCTCTCTCTCCTCCTCATATGTACCGTCTCGTTTAGGATCAAAACTCTCTCCGGGGTCTGCAGGCCGGCGGAATTCGTCTGAACAATCACAGTATGTTTGTTAAAAATGTTTAAAAAGAAGAAGGACAAAATACAAAAAAGTACTGGAAGACTTTCTGTCATTTGAAGAGAATTTTTTTTTTGGAAATGATGAAACGGAAAACAAAACATTACGTGCTGCCACTTGTTCTTCCTCATTATCATCTTCCTCTCTCTCCTCCTCATATGTACCGTCTCGTTTAGGATCAAAACTCTCTTCCTGCGGACACGACTCATATTCTCCACATCCTGTCTTATCGAAGATGTCAGCAAGGCTGTCGTTTGCCTTCTGCCCAATTCCTGTTGATCAATCACATGTAGATGTTGCCTACAGGTGGTTAAGACATTAATCTGAAGAAACAAGGTCAGATGTTCATTCATGTCATACCAGTGGTTTGGGATTGTCCCATCCTCTTCTGGCCTCTCAGAAGGAGACTGTGACTCACAAACGTGCAGTCAGTGTCCATCGTTTCTATGTCTGCTCTGGTCTAAAGCAATTTGGGGAAAAATGTCATAATTTTAGATTTTTACTTTTTGTTTTAGTGACATACAACTAAAATAACCAATTGACCAGTCTGGGGTCAGTAAGATTTTTTTTTAATGGTTTTGAAAGAATGGAATGTATGGAATCCCGTTTCCGCCACTGAATAATAATAATAAAAAAAAGGTTATTGCGACTTTTTATTCGTAATTCTGACTTTTTTCTCAGAATTGCATGATATAAACTCGCAATTGCGAGTTAAAAAGTCATATTGTGAGATATAAACTCGCAATTCTAACTTTATTTTTCAGAATTGCAAGTTTATATCTCACAACTAGGGTTGGGTACCGAAACCCGGTACTAATATGGCACCGGTACCTATGCAACCGGTATGTACTAAAACCGAATCAGAACGCAGATTTCGGTGCCATGCCTGAGCGACGAAATATTTATCCTCTGGTTCTCCGAGACGGACGTAAGCATCATCATCACCGGCACCGCACGTGAAAAATAATTTTCCGACTGAGAAAATGCACGTGAACTTAAGTCGGAAATCTCTAATAATCCAAATCCAACAAATCTTTGTAGTAACGAGAGTGTCCATGTTGTTTTCACATTCCGACTTAAAAGCACAACTCGGGAAATGAGAGCATCGAGGAGCGCGTGAATGCAGCAATTACACTTGCTCTGATGGCAGCAGGTAGATACCGTTAGCTAAACATGCTTAAATTAAAATGCCTAAAGCTAAACTTCCCTTGTATTCACATTTCTAAGCTTGTTGTCCAACAAAAGAGAACATTATAACCTTTTTACTCCACAACATCAGTCAAATGCTTCCTATTGTGATCTGATGAAGCTTCTTGTCACAGAATGAGGCAGAAAATATGTTCCATAGGCTACTTTAAAAAGAATACATCGATTAGCAATGGATTATAAATATACTTAATTATTATGAAAATACCAGATGGTTTGAATAAAACAGATAAACTATATTGTGGCAGTCAAGTGTTTATTGTCTTTGTTTTATCGTTCAAAATGTTTCTATGTTCTGTTTACTCAGTTACAGCTATAATAGTGATGTCTTTGTCCATATTAGGGATTTCCTGGAGGGTCATGAGTTCCGCTACTTCTGTGACTGGATATGTGGATTTTCTGTGGGAGGGCGCCCTCTGGCATCCAGTATGAATGAAACAGACATCATGTGTTTATAGTGCTAATGGCCAATCCATAATTTTTGGGGGAATTTTTATTTTTTTAATAAGTATCGGTTCAGGCACTGTTTAGGCACCGGAACCATTTAAAAAAAAAAAAACGATACCCAACCCTACTCCCAACTATGACTTTTTAACTCGCAATTGCGAGATTGTATCAAGCAATTCTGAGAAAAAAAGTCAGAATTGTGAGATAAAAAGTCGCAATTACCTTTTTTATTTTTTATTCAGTGGCGGAAACGGGCTTTCATACTTATGCTCACCAAGGCAGCATTTATTTGATCAAAAATACAGTAAAAACAGTAATATTCTGAAACATTATTAGAATTAACAAAAAAAAATTACAAAAATAACTATTTTCTATTTGAATATATTGTAAAATGTAATTTATTCCTGTGATCAAAGCTGAATTTTCAGTATCATTACTCCAGTCTTCAGTGCCACATGATCCTTCAGAAATCATATATGCTAGTTCTGTGGCTTCATATTTTTGATCAATTTAATGCTTCCTTGCTGAATTTAAAAAAAAATATATATATATATTTTTTTTATCTTTTTAAATGGTAGCATAAATATGTACCTCTGGGTGAGGAGAGCTCTCCGTATCATACTGATCCAGATCAGCTCCTGGATCAACACTCCAGCTCTGATCTGTGACAAATAAAGACCTAATCAAAAAACATCAGGAAAACCATTCAACCTGAACTGCTCAAAAACTATTAATGGAAACTGTTCATAATAGATCTGTATTACCGTATGGAAAAGGCATGTTTTGGTTCTGAAGAGAACTTTTGCGAGGCGTGTGCTGGTCCGAACATTTCCTCTTCTTTGAATCCTACAAATATAACAGTTCAAACCAACTCAAGTGCATTTTACTTTGATCTATTTTATGTAAAACTGTTTTGAAATGGGTAACTCAGGTGATAGCCTGTATTGTTGCGGTCTGACTGTGTCTAACCATTGTTTCCCGATTCTTGTTCTGTATACGATTGTTAGTTGGAGTGGAAGCCAACATCATCCCCTTGATTTCGGTTTCATCAGGATCATCCAGGCTGGAATCAGAAATCTCACTTTTCCTGCCATCTTTATGTTTTCTCTTCCCTTTAACTGGCACACGTGTGCTGGTGTTTGAAGGTGTGTGGGGAAAGTCGTCTGCAGGCGGCTGCTGCTCTCGAGAACCCAATGGATGGCAACGCAAAACGGACGGCGATTCGTCATTCTGGACTGCAGTGACTCTGGAAAAAATAGCTACTATTATAAAGTATTTGCTCCAGATATCTTTCGGTCATTATTAAGAGCTCAGAAGGAAGTTTATTTGGGTTTAAGAGTGTCTCTTTACATGTTTGTGCAGTCGTGTGACTCAGGTTGTTGGTTTCGTTCAGCGTGTGGTGAAGTGTGAAGATCATCATCATCTTTATCATCAAACTGGAGGGAAAACACATTTGACATGTGAACACACACTTCTAAACACTGCCATAGAGGTTTTTCCATGTATAACTAAGCATGGTCATCTTCAAAATGCACAGCTGAAAATGGCATTTCGGGATATAACACATGACTGAGATTGGGGCTGCACGATAAATCGAAATGAATCGAAATCGCGATTCGACAGAAGCTGCGATTGTCATGCGTATCTTTCAGTGAAGCACGGTTCTGTGATCAGCAGTAAATCTCCATCCAAAGGCCAGAGGGCGCTCTCACGCTGAAACTCCAAATACGCCTCGCAGAAGAAACCCAGAAAATGCCTATCGCTGCAGCTGAATAAACAGAAGATTCAACTGCTTTTATTGATTCAACATGACTAATAAACACACGATTTTGACAATATATGGTTTATATGAGTTATTATTATAATTTTCATTAAAATAAAGTATATTTATAATGCAATGCCTTTATCACTGCTTAAATACTATGAAATATGTTGCGTGCCTTATTCTGTGTAAGAAGCCACGTCATCTCACAGAAGGATTTATTTCAAACACTCGACTGACGTTATGAAGTGAGTTTGGAGTAAAAACAGGTTATTAAATGTGGTATTTTCACATGCTTTCAGATGGAGCAGCATTTACTTCACAGAGCCGTAGTTCACTGAGAAGTTATGCAAACAGCTGTCATTATCGCGAATGATTTCTTCGATTTCATAATCGCACAATAAAATCGTCTGAGATTTTTTTGCGTAACTTGTCAGTGAACTACGGCTCTGTGTAGTAAACGCTGCTCCATCTGAAAGCACGTGATGATGATTTCCTGCTGATTACAGAACCGGCTTTACTAACAAAATGCGCATGACAATCGCATTCGTTTAATCGTGCAGCCCTAACTGAGATTGTGTCAAACTATTGATGAAGATAAGGCAAAACCTGTTCTGGACAGACGTCCATCCGGCAGGTCTCAGGAACCACAGTCCTGAAATGTTTCTTTGTTTGAGGCTCTAAAATAAAAACACATTCATGTTATCCTTATAGAGAACATCATCTAAAACATACGGCTTAAAAAAAAAAACATGTACATTTTAATTAATTTAAGTCCAAAATATTTAACAGATGCATATTTACATTTGTTTTAAGAAAACTACCTTTAAACTCACATTGACCATTAACTTATTGGTTATGGTTAGACATAATATGTATGTATTAATAATATAAATTCTAGATGAAAATCAGCTCATAATACCTGCAATACAAGTGACATCCATTTCACATGTCTCAGCTACCAACACATCTCTGCCATTACAGCTGAAGGGCACAGACAGCTCTTCTCGCCTGGGTTCTGCAAATTATTAAAGATAAAACAAAGTATGTAATTTTTATAAATTAAAAATAATTAAATTAGTACATACACACGTATATATATATATATATATATATATATATATATATACACACACACACACACACACACACATATATATATATTCGT